CTCCTCCTCCTCCTCCTCCTCCTCCTCCTCCTCCTCCTCCTCCTCCTCTTCCTCTTCCTCCTCCTCCTCCTCCTCCTCCTCCTCCTTCTCCTCCTCCTCTTCCTCCTCCTCCTCTTCGTCCTCGTCCTCGTCCTCCTCTTCCTCTCCCTACATACCATCCCGCTGCTACTGCAATCTCTTACATCAAAGAAGCCTCCCGTCCTCCTCTCCGTACCTGCTCTCCTCCTACCCTGCTTTCCTCCTATCCTCCCAACTCCCTTTTCTCCTACCCCCCTATCCTCTTGTTCTAGCGCCGTCTCCTTCCATACATCGCTTCCCTCCCCTCCGCATGTCCAACCCCCCCCCTCCTTTTCTCTCACGCAGCCCCAGGTCTGGTCCAGCGCATCTCCTGCTGCACATTCCACATCCAACAGTTTTATATAAAGGTGTCACAAATCTCCGTGCTGCGATTCAGGCCCCCAGGTCTTCCTCCTCCTCCTCTCGCTCCACCCTCGCTTCCTCTGCTGTGCCCCCATCATCAGCGACACATCCGCGTCCTCCTCCTTCCCCCTCCTCTTCCCGCTCCTCTTCACTGCAATCTCCACCACGTCCTCCTCCCCTGTCCCCTCCTGCTCCTTCTCGCTGATCTCCTTCCTCCTCGCTGCCGCCCTTCGGCCCCGAGGGCCTCGGAGCCCCGCGACTTGTGAGGGATGAACATCAGCCACATGCTCGACAGCACGAGACTCTCCAGCCCTCAACTTCTCCCTCGCTGCTTCCAGCGCAGACACCGGCTCCTCCTCCTCTCCCTTCCCCACCACCTCCTTCTCTCCCTCCTCTTCTTTGATGCGCAACCCGCTGCCCTCAATCCTTGCTATCAGCTCCGACTTCTTCCCACTCGTGCTCAGCCCCAGCTGGGTCAGTCGGTTTCTCAGCTCGCTGACTGTGAGCTTCTCGAGTCCCTGACTCTCTCGCTCCTCCAGCGACTCCCGCGCGCAGTGCGACAGGAACACCCGGGCTGGCGCAAACTTCACGTCTTGGCTGTGAGCTGGAGCTGGCTGGCAGGTGGGGCAGGCGTAGCAGGTCCGGCCCTTCATGTCCCAGCTTACAACCCTCGTCCCGCATCTCCCGCAGTCCTTAGCGTTGTAGATGTACCTTCGCATGCTCGGCCTCCCCAGCGCCTGCGCCTCCTTAGGGTCCACAGTGAGGATGCTTCCAGTGAGGAACCCGCGGCGGAGGAGGGAGACAGTCTCAGCCCAGATCCTGCTGAACGCTTCCTCCTCCAGGTCCCCGCAGAGTGTGTTGGGGTGGACTCCGGCCCGGAAGAGGATCTCAGCCCGGTAGATGTTCCCCGGGCCCGCGAAGAAGGACTGGTCCATGATGATTTCTCCAATGCTTCTGCCAGCAGCCCTCTTGCTCGAAACCTTGCTGAACAGCTCCTTCGGGTCCGCGTCGTCCCTCAGCGGGTCTTGCCCAAGGCTCTTCCTCTTTTCGTGGTAGTAGCTCTCGTCCTCGCAGCGCAGCGTCATGGCGGAAAGGTGGCTCACTAGCCCGCTCTCGTGCACCAGGCACAGCCTCGTGGTGGAGGTCACGGGTGGGACGTCCTCCTTGTTCTGATCGAAGATGCTCCACTGGCCGCTCATACCGAAGTGAACATGGAGGACGATGAAGTTGCCGGCGTCCTCGCCAAAGAAGGCGAAAAGGTTCTTCCCAACAGCCTCTATCCTGTGATATTTCTTCCCGTCAATCGCCCTCGCTCCGTCAGCGAACCTGCCGTTGGGGCTGCTGGCACGGAAGACTTTCCCCACAAGTTTCTGCCTGTGAGCAGCAGCAACACGATGGACCGAGTGTCCTTCAACCATGACGGGGCGGGTGCAGTGAAAGAACCTGGCAAGCGCATGTCATTACAAGCCATCACAGCCGTCAGCAACAACCTCCTTCCCGCCCTCACTGCGAAGCTACGCGGAAGCAGAAAGGACATATCGACTATACCATCAAGGGCCTGGAGAGAGCTGAGGAGGATAAGGACACAGAAGCGACATCTGGTCGCCATAGAGGCTCAAATCCTTTGCACCCCTTCACTTCTCTCCTCCCTACAAATCTCCATACAAATCTCCTTCTGCTTCTGCTCGCTCCTGCCTCTGCTCCTGCCTCTGCTCCTGCAACTCCTGCTTTTGAGCCACCACCGTCACCACAAACAGATGGTAGAAAAGAGTTCAGATCGATCTTCCTTGAATCCACACGCGCTCCAGGATTGCACGCCGAACATTTTTACTTCTTTCCCTCTGCCGCGCAACATATCAATCCCTCCTCGTTCCTCCCTTCCATCATCACCCACTTTCTCTGCTCGATCCCTTCCTCATCAACTTGTGTTTCTTCCCTGCCTCTCCTCGCTCCTCCCCCTCTCTTCCTTCTTCCCTGCCATGCCGCTAAATCCTCTGCCGCCCGTAACGGTCCTTGTGTATCGGGCAACAAAGAAAAAAAACATTACACCGGTACTATAGTGTATGTTTGATGCGATAAATGAGGGGTGGGGTGGTGAAATTTTGCAGGAAATCGCAATGGCACGGAGGACAAAATCGTTGTTGTCAGACAGATCCTGTTGTTGTCAGACAGATCCTTGCAATGCTTGTGATTGTCTGAGCAAAGCCATAAGATATGCTGAAGACAATCATCTTGTCGAATGCTCTTGCATAAGGAACTGTTTGGATTTGTTCCGCCATCCGCCGCAAGGCATCCACTTGCATGGACCTGTATGGACGCCATCGACTTGTATTGGTGGTTATCACGATGCTTGAGCTTAATCGATCGTTGTGCTTTGTAGATTATTTGTATAGCGTTGCAAACATATGAGCGATATCAACCGTTTGAGGTGGGTACGAGAGGGAAAAGGGAGGAAGCGAGGGAAGAGAGAACAGGAAGGGGGAAGGGAGGAGAAAGAAGATGCCCGGATTGAGAGGGGACATGCAGGAGGGAGAGAGAAGGGGAGGGGAGGGGTCCCAAGAACCACAAGGTATTCTGGAAGAAATTCCTACCAGGGATCGAGGTCTCAGCTTTGTGGATGCGCACTGAGTGCGAGGTCTAGAAGGAAGGGGAGGATCAGACTGATCACGAGCATGCAGAGCAGGAGTCGCAGGTCACCAGCCTGAAGCTGCTCCTCCTCCCAGCCATGGCGATATCCTCCTGCGCAAACTCCTCCGCCATTCTTTTGGTCGACCAAAATATCGCCTGACAGCCGTACTGATTTTTAACTTAACTTTGAGTAAAAACCCTCTGAGCTTGACAGATTGTCAAACTCAAGGGTACCGGTGATTTTGCACTCAAAGGTACCGGTGCAAATGCCATCCATTGTGGTGCCCCCGTCCCCTGGGTGGCAGGGTTGACTCAAACATGGCCGAATGCAGCAAGAGGGTGAAGAAGACAAGACAAGACAAGACAAGACAAGACAAGACAAGACAACTGACATGGAAGCAATGACAACTGATCAGATGATATACTGCTCTACAGGACATGTTTTCCAAAACGTTGAGTCGAGATGACGATAGTGGAATACATCCAGTCTGTGAAACTGTTGAGATAACCAGAATGAGCTGCAAACAGTAGATGGGTGTTAGTGATCAGGTTCTGGTGGTGGATCAGTGTAAGCTAGATTGCAAGTTCTTGTTGTGTACTCCTGAAAAACATTGAAAATGCTGCATGGTATGAAGCAGAACCCTGACCATGACTGTCTGACAGAAGCGAGGAAACAATCATGGAAGAGAAGATAGCCGAACACATCGAGAAATTGAAGAAACACTTTCAATACCTTGCGTATAGTGGAACAAAGAAGATCAAACGCTACAGGTGACCACCATTCGGCTCACATTTCGTATTATCAACACACTTGATTCGTCGCTCTCTCCTTCTTCTCCCCTCCCCTGCCTCTGACTTGTTCCTTCCACATAGACGAGCTGTTGGTTGGTATCTTCACCCGAAGGAAGGCTCAGGTCTACAGCGCCAGCATAGGAAGCGATGATCATGAAAATGTGGCAGGATGGCGGGACAAAGCGCTGTACAGGTGGAACATGGCAGAGCTAGTGGACTTCTTCCGATCGGAGATCCGAGTATCATCAACAGTGATCCACAGGTCAACGACATGAAGAAGAAGGAGGCGAACAGTAGCAGCAGCAGCAGCAGCAGCGGGCAGAAAAGGCGGAGGAGCAGGAGCAGGAGCGGAAGCAGGAGCAGGAGCAGGAGCAAGGCAGATGCAGGAGTAGCAGCGGCAGCAGCAGCAGCAGCAGCAGCAGCAGCAGCAGCAGAAGGAGTGCTGCTGACGCTTGGTGGCCCCAGGTTGGAGGAGTCGGAGATCGATGGGAGCATCATGGTTCTGAGATGACCTGCTGCGGGCCGAGACCGTGACTGGAGATCATGCAGGAGATGACGTTGAACTCTGACGATGGGGATGAGGCGCTCCAGAGGGCGCTCAAGGTCGAACCCCCTCCCCCACTCTTCTCTCCCCCACTCTTTCCTCCCTCTCCCTCCCTCTCTCCCTCCCTCCCTTCATTCATCTCCCTCCCTCCCTCCCTCCCTCCCTCCCTCCCTCCCTCCCTCCCTCCCTCCCTCCCTCCCTCCCTCCCTCCCTCCCTCCCTTCATCCATCCATCGATCCATGCGAATTTCCTTTCTTCTCTCTTCTGTTCCTCTCTCCTCCTCTCTCCCCATTCAATCACACTCATCTCCCTGCTTTACCTATTCTATTTCCTTCAATCGCTCAAATACTCATCTCTTTATTGTTCTTATGATTGAAATTGCTGTGCAGGTTGATGCGCTAGTTGTGAGAAAAATTCGTCGAAAGGTGATAAGAATTGCCTCCCTCCTCCCTCCTCGCTCCTCCCTCTTCCCTCCTCCCTCCTCCCTCCTCCCTCTTCCCTCCTCCCTCCTCCCTCCTCCATGCTCATTCTCTGCCTGTGTTCCAATTTGTCCTGTCCTCATCTCCATTCCTCCTCGCAGCTGGACGAGATGGGCAAGGATCATGGACTCGAGCGACACAAAGACGAGCTGCGATATTTCTTTGATAAGGTCAAGACGAGCGTCTGACTTGCTCGACTGAGCTATCGCACAGATTGTTGTTGACAAGCAGGGAGGTACTCTGATCAAGTGCGAAGGGAAACTGCTAGAAGGGCTGGGTCAGAGCTCAGCAATTGTCTCAACTTGCTAGGTTTGACCGATGCGAGCAGGGGTTACAAGAGTAACGGAACTTCCTTTCCTCATTGACGAGCCTGGGTTCTTCGATTCATTGTAATGCAGGCGATGTTTGATTCGATTCCTGCGCCTCCTGTTGTCTCGCCGCTGCTGATGCTGAATGTTCGTGTTGCTTTTGCCTCTCATCGACGTGTGGCTTTCAAGTCGACTTGTCTCCTGCCGTTTCCTCCTTTCCTCTCTCTCCTGGCCCAATATCCTCACTCTCCCTTCCCCCTCAGAGGTCTCGACTTCACCGAGGAGGCGCGCCTCAAAGCGCAGATCCGATCAGTAGCCAAGGTGAGGAGGAGTTTGCTTCCTGAACCACTACTTCTCTGACGATCATGAGCAGGGAGTAGAGCGAGAAGGTGCGAGCATCGCACATCAAACGCTCTCTTTCATATTGTGCATGTTGAAGTCTCCGGCAGGGAAGCTCCTGCCACGGCATCTTAACCAGGGGATACCCAAGATCCGGCAGAAGAGAGAGGTCGGAGGAGGAAGAGCAAGGTTCAACCATGTGAACCTACGAACCCTGCCAGGTGGTGGAGAAAAAGAAGCTCAACTCTGCTATCAGAGCTGTCACTGAAGAGCTGGAGGTATGGCCATGGCAATGATGACTGTGGGAGGGGAGAGGGGCGGGAGGAGGAAACTTTTGTCTGGGATCCAACGAGGAAGAGGAGCAGGGAAGGGCTGAGAGGCATGTGCAAGGAGGGGACGGGAGCTTGCAAGGGGGATAGAAACGTTTGAGGTGAGTTGAAGCGCGTTTGACGCAGGAGAGCGAGGAGTTCTTCGAGGAGTCGGCGAAGGACGCGCTAGAGGCCGGGTATGTGGCAGGGGGAAGGGAGGATAGTGAGCTTGTCCATGACTTGATCGGAGAGGAGCTGAGTTCTGATCTCCCTTGCAACATCAATTCTACTTCTGATGCCTCCCCTTTGCCCCAGCGGGATTTTCACCCCGGAGCACAAGGTCTCCAAGGATCGGAAGTCCAAGGGAAAGGTGGGCAAATATCTCCACCTTTGGCTCCTGCTCCTCCTGCTGCTGCTCCTGCTCCTGCTCCTGCTCCTGCTCCTGCTCCTAAAATCCTCCTGTTCTTCCTCCTCCTCCTCCTCCTCCTCCTCTACCCAACCCTTTTTCATCTTCGCCGTCTTCCCCCTCTTCTTCACTTTGTCTGTCTTCCTTCCCTTCCTGCGCTACTTTTCCTGCTCATGGCGTCTGCAGAGCCTTAAGGTTGAGAAACCGAAGCCAGACAAGACCAACATCGCTGTTCTCAACCCCAAGTACAAGTCGGTCGGCATGTGGGAGGCAGTTGGGGCGACCAGGGGTGTACGAAAGAAGGTTATTGCCCCCTCCGCCTCCTCCTCCCGCCCTCCCTCCCTCCCCCCCCTTCCCTTCCATCATTTCCATCATCGTCGCCGCGATGAGGAGCACCAGCAGCAGCACAACTTCTACTGCGATCACCAACATTATCCCACCTGAGCATGTCTGCACTGATTCAAACTCAAACGCACTGATGCAGAAGTGTGTCGATTCTCGACCTCTCCCTACATGTTTCCACAGCTACTTCGAGCTTCTTGTCTGTGTCTGCTGCTCACTGTTTGCGTGTTCTAGTTGGCTCAGACCAAGCAGCTGCGGGACGAGAAGGAGGAGGAGGAGCGTGATGAGGGAGGGGAAGGAGACTTGTTCCAAGAGTCGAGCCAGCCAGGGAGAAGAACGGCTTCATCCGCTGTACCTGTGCCGTAGAGACTCCGGAGGCTCCTCCTCCATGATACTCGGGTTGGCTTGTAAATATTCTTTGATGGTTGTCTTCCTGTCCCACAGGAACGTGTTCACCAGGAAATCCTCTTTCACCTCCTCCCCTGCCCTCCAAATGTCACCATCACACCAGAATTTAACTCGCTCCTACCGGCCTTAGAGCAGGCGAGCACGCAGTGCCGTAAGTATACCCGACAAGGCAGGATCTCACCCTGTTGTATCCGTCAACCCTTCTACTCCGAAGCTATCCTTCCTTGCCCCTTCCCCGTGCCCCCCTCCTCATGCACAGCATCTTTCCTTCTCATCCTTCTCATCCTTGTCCTGCTCCTCCTCTCCATCCTCCCCTCCTTGTCATTTGCTGCTCCATCCCTTCCTCGCTGACCTGCCAGTTCCAGATAGTGGAGAGTCCGTAGCTGCCGTACCTGAAGGCAAAATGAGTATGCCGTCCCCTTCCCTCTGATCCCTCCACCTTTCTACCCTTCTCTTCTCCTCGCTCTCCCCATCTCCTCTGGTCCCCTTCTCTTCCCCTCTCGTCCCCTTTCCTCCTCTACTCACTCCTCGCAAACTCTCACCTCCCACGTAGCCTAACTCCCTCTCTTCTTTCCTCTCCTCCCAGGAGCTTCCCTTCCTCGATCTTGACTTGATACAACCAATCTTGCTATACGCTTCATCCATTCCCTGTCCTCTAAATCATCTCCACACCTTTCTTCAAAGTTCTTCCTCCCATGCTTAGCAATGTATTCATCGTCTGTTCCTGCGCTGCGTTGTGCTCATCTCACATCATAGCAGCTGCCAGGAAGCAACAAACCAGCACAGAAGCCCTTCCTGCACCTTCGACCCGTCGAGCTCCTGCCGCCCTCTGTCAGCTTCAACTCCCTCCCTACACATCCGCATGCCAACCTCAATCGGAGCCAGCGCAATGAAGAACTCCTCCTCCCGCTCGTGGTATGCTTGCAGCTCCTCTGCCCGGTCGCCGTCACTCCCCGCCGTCTCCTCATGCTCTCACCTGACGGGATGTCGAACGCGGCGACAAGAAAGTTGCCATCGGGACAGGGCTAGAGTACACAAGAGCTCGTCACATTATGAACATCATATTCACCTCCACGTGCACAACAACATCTTCATCGTTGCGAGGGAGATTTCTCGCCACGTTCTTCCTCTCACCTCAACAGAGAGGCTTGCAAATTCACGTGTGTCTTTTCGTGCAATGTTCCTCTGAAAGAAAATGCTTGCCGGATGCCGCATAACCCTCTTGTATCCTCGCAGACTGGGAACACGTTAGAACTATCGTCTCTATCTCCGTGTCTATCTCCATCTCTATCTCCATCATCCTACCCTCTTCCTCCCTTCTTGTTCCCCTTCGTCATCATTACTTTCTCATCACAATCGAAACTACCACCACAATAACACAATGACAATGACAATGACAATCACAATCACAATCACAATCACAATCACAATCACAATCATTGATACACCCATCATCCTCCTCGTCTCGATCACCGCGCTAATCTGAAATTCTGGAGGTTAGGGAAGGAGGAGCGAGCCGACGCCTCGCTGAGCAGCGACCCGAACCCGATGATGGGCTGACGTGCCGCATCCTTGGAGAGCGTCAAACAAAAGTACGAGACGAACATCAGGGGATGATATGGGGAGCAGAGCAACAGGAGAAGGGAGGAAGCAGGAGGAACGAAGGAGACGAGCGCGTGATAGCTGGTAAAAGTTTCTCACTGGCTTCTCCAATCCATGGATAAGAAAATCAGTGATCTTTTCTTGCAGGAGCAACCGATTCTGCATACCCACCATGTAGCCCCTCCTTGCCTCCTCCTCACGTTCCTTCCCCAGTTTGCTCGCAAACATGTCGAGAAGTTTCATGAAACACTCTTCTCCCGTTCCAAACAGAAACTCGGGGTGACCTTGCAAGGTGAGAATATGATCCCCTATCCTCATCCCTTCACACCCGCACCACTCGCTCTTCCCCATCGACAGAGCTCCAGGAGGCATCTCACTGACGAAGTCACCGTGAGAGAACAGCAGCCCAAGTTTGTTGTTATCCATCTTCAACGTCTTCCTTCCTTCAGCGCTCAGATCAAACTCTCTCAACCCGAAGTAGAGGCCATTCCGATGCGCTTCTACCTTACCCCCGAGGGCCACGGCAACAATCTGGTGCCCAAAACAAATCCCGAGTATCTTCTTCTTCATCTGATGGAGAGCTCTGATGTACTGGCACAGATTTTCGATCCATGCTTCCCTGTCGTATGCTGAGCTGAGACTCCCTGAGATGATGAAGGCGTCGAAGTTCTCTGCCGGAGGAAGAACCAGTTCTCGCACTGCAAACTCCTCGATCGAGAATGGATCTCTGCTCTCCTCCCCCTGCTTTCCCTTGTCCCCTGCTAGCGTATGAGCAGAGAGGAGGAGAGGAACAATCATCCTTCCCACGTGCTCGCCGTAGGCGCCATCGTCACACCGCAGGACCGCAGTCCGAAGCACCATGTTGACGCACAAGGGGACGCAAAGGAGGAGAGGAAAAAAAAGGTAAGAAAAATGCTAAGGACCGGTCCATGAACATGGAAAGGAGGGATGGGGTAGGGGTGGGTCAAATCTTGTAAAACTAAACAAAATTGTCGAGGTGTAAAGGACACGCTAGAAGAGGGGATGAAGGGGGTGATATAAGGAGCAGGGTATCTGCATAGCGAGGGGGGGGTGGGGTAGGTATGAACATACCCAAGTCAAAGTGGTGGGTACTAGTTAGACTCAGCTAGGGGTGGTATCTATATGAGGAGGGACTTGAGGGAGGTAGAGGACATCGACTTGGGGTGGGGTGGTACCACGTGCTATGGTTTCGGTGCTTGATGAGCTCAGGGCGACGCTGGAGGCGATGAAGGCGCGAGGAGGAGCGGCAGGGGAACGAGTGCCAGCATCCACACAGAAGGCTGCAGAAGAGCTCCTCTCTTGCCTCAGGTATGCCCTTGCATGCCCTCTGGTTGCAAACAGTCTGCTCCTGTGAAGGGGAGCAGCGTCCTCTTGACTGTAAGCGTGAAGGTTGGCACCTTGTGGACTTTGTCCCAGTTCTTCGTTCATGTTTATGTGTCCTCGTCTTTGTTCGCGTGGGTGTTCTGTGCAATGATTCAGCGATGTGATGATCAGCATTGTTTTCATCCGCCATTTGCATGTGTTTGTGTATTGCCTGATTGTTTTGCCAAGGCGAGATGCAGGGCTGGTTCAGTCCCAGTCTTCAGGGCCAGCTATTCACTATGGCATGAACTATGTTGATGGTGGAAATTCAAGCACCCGAGCGCACAACAGCACGGGCATCCTTCCATACAATGATGGGGGAGCAGGTTGTGCGAGAGGCCTGACGGTTCACTTTTGACTGGTCGCTGATTTGTGTTGCAGCGGCACATTACGCCAAGTTGAGAGCGGGAGGGTCCGGTCAGCATGCAGTTTCCGCACCGAATGCTATGAGGGGGACAGAGGTCTACATGAAAGGAAGCAGCTGGTCCCAGCATTATTGAGGTTGTACGCTGGTCGCATGGGTTCAAGAGCGAATCTCGTTTTTAAACTTGTTTTTCTATTAGAGCACTTCACAGCAAACAATATGTATCTTCTAGTGTTCATCGGACAACACTGATGCGACAGTGCCATCGTTGTAGACTTTGCGCTTTCCTGCAAGAGTGTCAAGTCAAGTTGATAACGATCATCTGAACAGGTTCACCCTGGTTGAAGAGTCCAGAGTCTGGTCTCATAGCAGCGACCTTGTCATCAACAAAGTCGTTCGAGACGTAACTGTCGCTCAACCCTGCAACATCATGGTGGTGTTAAGAGGAGATAACCTCGGGTATATCCTTACCGAGGTCATGCATGATGGTTCCGAAGAAACTCTGAGGCTTCTGTACAACATACACAGGGGAGAGGGGCCGCTCTGCCAAGAGCATGAGTGCAAGCTTCGAAGGCTAGCAATGACGCTGAAACCTGTCTTGTGGCGCATGAAGTTGTACTTGTGTCTCGGATGCAAGAGGTCGTGGATGGAATCGTCGAAGGAAGAGATGTGCTTGCAGGCATAAAAATTTCCCTCCCCACAAGCCTGTCATGACACAACGCTTCACACATGTGCCTATCTCGCACCGCTACACAATCATGGCAGCCTAACGCACCTTCAGCCACGCAGAGTTCCGTGGATTAGTCAGGGATCCCTTCTTCCAGCTTACGTCGATGTCAGACGATAGAAGAATCAACATAATGAAGATCAATCTTACGCTGGAGTATCCCACTCGTTCTTGGTAGATTTTGACGTCTTGTAGTTCTTGAGTTGCGCAGGTACAAGATTTTTCCCTGATTACATGTGAGCTGCGGCAGAGTGGCAGGAGGGTCATCACCATAGTACGACAGTGGCTCAGGCACCCGAGCTTGCGATTGAAATCTTCCGCTAGTTTCACACACAAGCAACAAGAAGAATTCGCAGACCTCGGAGAAACTCGTCTTGTCCGCTTGAAGTCCTTGTTGACCTGCCCCATCATGTTCAGGGATCAATCCAGCAATCGGGTCGTCCGCATGAGCAGACGCAGGCCCGTCCTGCTGATAAGTTTACCTTAGCTCGAAGGTTTGAAGCCGAGCGAGGGTGCCTGGCCGAAAATCCCTGCTACAACGATCACCCGGCAGACGAGACGAAGCGAGTTCGAGCTTTCCTTAGGGTTGCTATCGTCGATTCCTTGCAGAGCGTGCATAGCTGCTGGATTGGCAGCAAGCTGTTCGCAGATTGAGTATCTCTCTGCGGAGTAGCTGGACAACGAGTACCTCGTTACATGCGTCGTTGTTTCCATGAGAGCATTCCTCCACCAAGTTTGCTGGGAGCAGACAAAGTTCAGATCAGGACGAGCATTCCCACAGAAAGACCCCTAACCTGTTCCTGCGAGTGCGCCGGACTGCCAATTCGCTAAAGATTGTATTCTGCCTTTCTTCGCGAGCTCCTGTGATGACAAGCAGTCACTATTTGCTCTTCGTCTCCAGGTATATTTTGCTGACATAGGGTTGACTCCTGTCCTCCGCAGCTTGCTTGAGATAATATTGAGGAGATCGACTACGACTTTTGCGTCAGGCGAAAACGTTGCAATCCGATGAAATGCTCTCACATGTTTGTCCTTTCTAACAACTCGACCCTCTCCTGCATGGCGGAATCAGTTAGTTAGAAAATCAGTAAGATCTAACGAAGAAAACAGCAAAGGAAAGTGTGATCACGGCAAAGAGACCATCAATACAACATGACCGACTGCGACGGGAGCAAAGGATCGCCATTGGGACAGTAGGCCAGCACAACAGCATCATGTGCGACAGGCCATGCTCTACCACTTGACGGTCACTGACCTTGCTGCCATTCTTCACCAACATCACAGCAATCGTTGCGATGGCTCCCACCACCGCGACCACCGCCGTCGACCTTGCCATGGTGAAGAGCCGCCGGCTAGTGAGCGGGCCTGCGCCGACAGCCCGGTCACGGCTATCCTTCGTTTTACAAGTTCCGGGCCGAGTCCGGCCCGGGCCCGGCCGCGCCGGGGGCCCTGGCCGGCCCGGGGAGCTCGGAACCCAGTTCGATAGGCCCGGTGACCGTACACTGCTGCCGCAGTGCGCCGCCGGGCCCCGGTGCCGCCGCGATCCGATGATCGGCGATGCAGGCGCGAGTCCGAGCAAGGTCCGGTCCAGTATTCCATGTCCCGGCAACGAGGAACCATGTCGGTCAGTGCAAGACAGAACAATCGTTGAGATAGAAAAACAACAATTGTTTGTGAAGCTCTCAAGAAAACACTGTGCCACCTCAACAGCCACAATGTGTGCCAGTCCGAGGCTTGGCTTTCACAGAGTCCGACTGAACGGTTACTGAGTTGACTGACCGTACGGACTCTGACCGATCGAGTCGGACCCGGCACAGTGACACGGCGCCGGCGGGTACGGCGGCCGCGGGCGTACAGTGTACTGAGCCTGAGCCCGCGGCCGGCCCCGAGCCTCAGGCTCCTGGGCCTAGGCGGCGAGTCACTGTCAATGGGCCCGGCAGTGCGGCTGGCTTCAGGTAAAGGCTGGCAAAGTTAACGCTTAAACTTGACGCGGCGCCCGGCCGCGACAACTCAGTGCACGGACTGTCCGACTGGGCTGGCCGTGGCAAGTGACTCGCTGCTGTTGAAGAAGAGACTGAAGTTGCCGCTGTCCGTGCAGTGGGTTACACAGGCTCGGACCGTTAAAAGGCTTTCAGGCCGTCCGAACCGATGCGATTGTTCCCGCCGAGGCTCCTGTAAGCTCTTGAAGAGTTAAAACTTTTGTGGACATGTGTACCCGCAGATATGACCTCGATTCACTGACCCAATTTTATTAGCAGTTTTAGCCGGGTCTCGAGTGCGAGTTACAGAGATTTTATTAGTTTTAGCGGAGATCGGTGCAAATACTCCCTGTAATGGTGACTGGGCACATGAGCTCTAGTACCCCACCGAAACAACAAATAAAACCAGTACCCCCTGTCCTTGCGCCGTTCCGACGAGACAGCGACGTCCTGTAAGGTGCATATTTGTGTCAGCTGCTGACAGAAACACAGTCAGCATGTAATAAAATAAGGGTACGCTTACAGGTATGCATAGTAAATTACAATGTTTCAAATCTGATCCGGATCCAGCCTCCGATTGATGACGGAGTCCGAGTGTAAAGCTTGAAATCTGGTCACGATTTGACTGCTTTATCACGCCTCTAACCTCTTCTAGCAACTCCTGAAAGCACCCACCCCCTTCAACTCTGCAACCTCTTGCAACCCTTGGTTGTCCTGTCTGGTTGTGGCGTATTCATAGACAACTTACCTGAAGGAATTCAACCCTTCAACCCCCCTCATTCACTCCTTCCTGCGCATTCGGAGGACCCACCCTCAATTTTCTTTCAACTGCCTGTAAGCTGTGCTCGCTGACAGAGACAACTAAGTCAATCTCCAGATATGTCCAAAACTTGACCGACCCTTACACCAGATACACACCTCTCCCCCGTGCAGTCCTGTAAGGGATTCCTTAAAGATTATGAAAAGGTGCTATTTCAGAACTGATTCCGTTCGCCTGAACATTACTACTGCTGAAATGCTGTAAGGCAAGGGAGTGACCTCTTGAACGGATTATAAAAATATCGTAGGTACGTTTTAAAGAGCCGACGATTCAGATACACATCCCTCGACGGGTGAATATAGGAATTGCCCTCCCGGGCGCTGCTCCACCTCTGACACCTTCGTCCTCGTATCGTCTTCCTCCCTACTCCTCCACTCCTCAGCGCTGCTCTCCTCGCAGCCTAGATCTGCAGTTATATCTTCTCGCAGACGCATACCTCTATCAATCCTCCTTGCAAGTGACAGGCTATCCGATCTCACATGCAAGTAGTGCAGATGAATCCGTTCCAACAGCAACAACCTTGGTTCTTTCAGAACCCGGCGCAATCAACACAGCTTGCAATGCCGACCTCCACGCCAAACAAGCCGGCTACGGAGCCCCTGGCCTTGTCTCAAAACTTCGTGCCGGCTTCTGGATCCAAGACTTTGTATCCTTTCTCCACAGCAACCAAGCCCACGCTCTCGTTTCCAATGCCCACGGTCCAGCAATCCGGAGACCTCTGGCAATCAACACTAGTTGCCTCGCCTACAGCAAGCACACAACCCATGCATACGGTCAACCTCGTCGGATGGAACAACGCGCCATCATATCATCAAGTAAATGCTCCGATGCTCAACAGGAGCCAAGCTCTCCTTGGAATCAACCAGCAACATCAGACTTCAAATGGTCCGATGCAGCAATCTATCCAAGTGCAACCCAACAACCAGCTTTTAATTGCTCAAATGCTCGCTCTCATCAAGCAGTCTGGTCAGCACGGCAAGTTGTTTGAGCCACAAGCAAAGGGGCAGATGCAAGAACTTGCGTCTCTCTCAGCAGCTCCTGCTGCTCAGCCTTGCCAATCCCAGCCCCTCGCTGCACATCGAGACTCAGACAGCCAGGCTTCGTCCACATCCAGCTCGCCAACGCAGGATCCCTCCAGGACTTCATCGGGGGGAGAGTCCAAGATGGCACGGGCGAGGGAGAAGCAAGGGGGCAAGTGGCAGAAGGCTGCGGCGCACCACGGAAAGTCATCCGGACTCTCGTCCACAGGGCAGGGCAACCAGGTCATCGCTTTCAAGCATTTCCTCCAGGAGGAGCAGAGGAAGGGTGTGGTGACGATCGACGCGGTTGGCCAGCCCTCGGGGATCGACTCGGGCAAGGAGCTTGTGAACCCCCTGGGGCTGAAGAAGTGGCAAGTTAACGACGTGGATCAGTGGTGGGAAGATGGTGAGTCGCTCGTTTCCTTCATGTGCTCACGATGCTGACGATTTCTCGCAGTGAAGAGATGGTTCGAGGACGATCCCGAGAGATTCTGCTTCCGCGCCTTCTTCATGATGCTTCGCCGCTTCGGCTTCAAGCCCTTCAACAAGGCTCCTGCTCCCGCCAGCTCCGGTCTCGACTACGGACTCAAGAACAAGCTTGCTCGCACGCACGGATATGAGTACGACACGGAGGTTTTCGAACGGTATTGCCAGAGCAGGAAGGCCATCGCCAGGTACTGCCCGATGTCAAAGAAAGAGAAGGAGACATGAATAGTTGTTGTACATACCGATATTTAACAAATGTAGCATAGTGAATGAATATGACTTCTGCTGTGAAATTCGGCTGTTTGTATATTGACACACTCTACAAAAAGTCAACTCTCATGTGCTCCGAGAATCGGACGCGCTATCATTAGGACGCTTCTTTGCCACATGTCGAATTCCGTCGCAATGGATTGGAAACCCAAGATACCAAAGGTGCGCCTCAATGCTTCGGTCCCACTGCAACGAGCAATGAGTGGGAGGAGAGGAACAGGAGCTGAGTACCTGAGGCAGAGAGTTGGAACACTTGGGATCTTCCCCGGTCTGGTCGCAGATGACAAAGTCATCGTCCTTGCTTCCTGTCTGCCAGATCTCCGTGGGATGGTGATGGAAGTCCGTCAGGAGGAAGACGCCCTTCCCCTGTGGCGGAAGGTGAGGAACAACGTCGTCCTGGTGGACTATCCTGCTCGTCCTCGGAACCCTCTCAGCGAAGAAATCCGCAAAAAACTTGTTCCCCACGCGCGGCTCCCCGAAGCTGTACAGCCCGATGTCCGTGCGGTTGAAGAGCATGGAGAGCTCCAACGAGCACAGAGCGGCAAGAGCAGCACCAAGGGAGTGACCCGTCACCATCATAGCAGAGTCGGGATGGTCTTTCAGAACCGCAGTCGTCGCGTTGAAGACATTCATCTTGACGGACTGCCAGTCTTGGAAGAAGCCCGAGTGAACCCTGCAGTGATGATGCCTCTGCCTTCCATCGTCCGCTGAGTCGCAAGCTGAAAACTTTGTGTCCACCTTGTAGTATTCCAGGTCTTGCACCCAGTTGATGAGGTAGTCCGTCCCTCGGAAAGACACGACTGCCGTGTTCAAGGGTTCATAGTATCCAACAAACACTCCAACATGCCTCGAGACAAGCTTCTCCGCATTGACAAAGTAGGTTTGGAAACCCCGCATGTCCTGGCATATCTTACAGCTCCAATCCTCAATCATGCCATCTTCGCAGTATGCTATCCGCGAGAAATTGAGGTAAACCTCCGCATCATCACGGTCGAATCCTCCGAATCCCGTTGGGCGCTCTGCTCCCCTTTCCCCATGTGCAGAAGAGTGTTTCAGCGGTATCCCACCACAGCTGGTCAACAGGACCAAAAGCAATAAGCCGGTCTCCGACAAACAGCGTCGAACCACCATCGATACAATACAAGTGCCAGATCACATATCACGGGTGAGTCTTGGTTGGTGCAGACCACGAGTCTGCATCCGCGTGGTGGTCTGCTACCTGTCCGCCTGGTGCCAAGAGATCAGTAAACAGAACGACGGCTTTTGTTGTTGAGTGAGAGTTGATCTTGTTATCTAATAATTCCCATGGTTCTTTCTTAACCTTTCAAGCCTGTGCAAACTAGCTCTGCCACATGTTTCCAACCTCAATTTCTCTTCCCTTCAGTCAAGTCCTCTACTTGCACTCAACGTTTGAAGCAGGTTGTCTATGCATCTCGTTTTCCATTCTCTTGTGTTCTTGGTGTATCCTTCTCCTGCTCCTCCTCTCTGTCTTCTCCTTTTGCTCTCGAACCGCCTCTTTCCTGCATGGTTTTGCTGGGTTTTGGTCTGCAACAGGGGGTAGGCCTGTGACATGGTCTGTTTGAACCCCTAGTTTAGAGCACTAAAAATAGAGAAATTATTGGGTGGGTACTTTCTTCTAGGATTTCTTTCAGGGGTAGGAGGTATAGGGCTAGGGGTGAAAGTAATGGAAGAAGTGGGGGTGGGCTACAAATTTTGTAGGGGTACTTTTAACGGGGAAAGAGGGGGTGTATCTGTGACGCAACAAAATGTTGAGGGGGGCTCGTCAGTTGTAACGGTTCCTCTAAATCGGGTTGCCCATGCTTTGGGGAATGTGGCCAGTAGCGCGAGGGTAGAGAGGGGAACTGAAGACGGGAAGCAGCGGATAAGGAAGTGAAGGAGGAGAAAGACTTGGAAGAACAGATCCGGACATGCAGGTCCAAAGAGAACATTCAGCAGTAGACGGGACAAGCGATTCGATGCTCCAAGACGACTTTTCGTCAATCCGGCTCAAAAACACTCCCAGGTGCGCATTGACTCGCTCAGGCTATCTGTGTATTCTAAAAGTCTTCCTCTTGCTGCAGGAGAGGATGGATGGTTTTCGCTGCAGGCTGTGCTGTAGTCTTGGCCCTTGTAGTGTTGGGAGTACAGAGCAGACCTGGCAACACCACTCTGACGTCATTGGATGCCGGCCGCCATGCCGGTCGAGCCGTACACGCAGGGGTCGAAAAAGATGTCGACTCGATTGATAAAGATGTGGACAAGACTGAGAAAGACATCAAGGGGCTGGGAGACCGCCTGATCAAGGACTTCGACTCCATGGTGCTGTTGCACCGGGGAGCTAAGAATGTGACGGGAGAAACGGAGAAGGGAGACTGGCTCATCCGGATGGGGCTGAAACAGGCGGGCAGAGCAAGTGAGCTGAAAGGGAGGCCGATGGGAACTCAAAGTCCGGAGCTCGATGCGAAATGGATCAAAACATTCCGAGATCAGGCTCGCAAACACAAGGTACCAAGCACCAATATAATCCATCAGGTATACATACTTTTTCTCCCTTATGATGTTGATATTAGATGCCGTTGGATATTTTTGTGTTTGGCTTTCTTTTCATGATACATAGTATTCTCCCCTTGATTGTGATTGTGATGATGGCGATGCTCGCGCTGCTTGACGAGTCTGAGCAGATCAAAACTGCTGAGGTGGCGTATCATCGCCTCCAAGGGAGCATGCAGAAGCTAGCGTCTGCTGTGGACCAACTTGACACGTTTGTGAAAGATGCGAAGAAGAATAGGCAGGATGGAAGACATTGAACTAATGTAAGCACGGGCTTCCTCTTGGAAAAGATTGAAAAGGAAATTGTTGCCACCCATGGGAACGGGTGAAATGGGATGTTAACATTATAGGGAAAGATTCTAATGGAATGAATCTATATGGCAGTTGTAACTTACTGCACGTGGCGTCCGCATCTTCATATCTCTGCAATTCTTTTCTGTCGACTTCGTGTAGCTCTTTGAAATTGCTGCTGGGAGTAGGAAAACGACGATGCTTGACAAAGTCACATACAGAGAACATGGAGCTGGCGAACAAGAGGTTGATAATATCTCGTAGTTACTCTCTTCTTGTCCCTTCTCTGAAGATCCCCATCACTTCTCTCGCATTCTCTACATCACCATCAGGTCGTGTTCCGATTCGCTACAGTTCTGGTTTCGCGTTGCCTGACTCCACCCCTACCCCTGATTTTTGTCCACCCTACCCACTCACAAAAATATTCTCCATAACCACCCCTGAAGATTGAACGGAAAGTGAGGGAAACAGACCTCATTAAATTTAATACCACCGGTACAATTCATACCACCTACCGGTCGATTGGTCAAGTTTTCGCTGGTCGCCACGATTACGAAGCAGGAACGAGGGAGAAGGAGAAGAGAGTGGAGGAGAGATGGAGGAGGAGAGATGGAGGAAGAGAGATGGAGGAGGAGGGAGGGAGGGTCTGTGGGAGGAGAGAGGAAGTGGAGATGGAGAGGACACGAGAAGGATGTTGACGGTCCCTTGAGTGTTGCATGAAGATGAAAGGGGCTGTCGGTGAAAGGGAGAGTTTTACTTCCTCTTCAAGGAGATACAACTGACGGTTTGCGTGAAACCATCAGATGGATGTGGTTTAAGACAAACAAGGAAGTGAAGGAGAGGGAGAAGAACCAGCTACTACACAACACACGCACAACAAGAGAACGACAAACATGATGAGCTTGAGGAAAGTCTGCAGATCACCCTCTTTGCGCATTCTTCAGAGGTACAGCGACATGTTCCTTCATCGGATCTCTTGACACAGCTTGTTACCTTCAAGTCACAGGGTGTTCAATCATCGCAGGGGATACATCTGCAACCCCGAGAGCATCGCCCACTGCCGCGTGAGGGAGGAGCGTGGTAGCGCGAGGGAGCATGACGGAACTTGTTACAGGATCTTGTCCAGCATGCAGATGTCGAGGGGTACCTGTGCCTGGCGTTCTATCCCAAGGAGATCCGGCAGCACATGTGAGCAAGGAGATGAACAGCCTGCTCATAGTCGGCTGACTTGCTCCAGCCTCGCTATCAAGGCGTTCAATGTGGAGGTCGCAAAGGCTGCGGACAAGAGCTCGAATGAGAAGATGACGGAAATCAGGTGAGCAGACCTCGATGTCGCCGGCATGCTGACATTGTGTTTGCTGATGACCGATCGCTGTGCTGATTGCTCTCAACGTTGTGCTTGAACAGGCTTCAATGGTGGAGAAGTGTTATTGAGAAGCTACCGACGAAGCAGCTTCCCACCCATCCTGTTGTTGGTGATGAGACAAGTTCTCAGTGCGATGTTGCCCGAGCTCATTACTTGCAGATGCGCTGTGTGAGACTTTCCACAAGTACGACCTGGACATGGGTCAGTGATTGTGTTGATCGAAATCCTCTGAAGTGTTGGACAAGACCTTCTCTACTCGCTCGTTGACAAGAGAATCCAAGATCTGAATGTCAAGATCCCTGAAGTGTGAATAGCACTGAGATACATTTCTGGTTTCTCACTCTTCCTTCCGCTCCCCCATCGCTCTGCAGACTCTGTACTATACCGAAGAATACGCCGAAGGAACCCAAGGAGCCTTGCTGAAGCTTGCGCTGAAGGTCCTGTCTCTTGAATGTTTCAGACTCTTCGCATTCTGTTCGGGTGTCCTTGTTGAAACTCCTCTGCTGACTGGGTTTCTCCCTCCTCTCTTTCGCTGAAACTCCTTCCTTTCTGTCAGGTCTTGGGTGCGCACACGGTGCCCGGCAATGTCAAGGCTGCGCATGTATGTCTCCAGGGCGCAGAAGGAGAAAGGGAGCACTGAGACGGTGGCGAGGACGGGGGGGGGGGGGCGGGAGGGGAGCGAGAAAGCCTCGAGTAGAGGGAGGAAGGGCGGATGGGAGAGAGGAGAGGCATGCGGAGCATGAAAGTAGTGAAAGCCAGAATGGGGACTAGAGATCTGATACCCTCTCGCAGCAAGTCGGAACGGCTGTTGGGATCTCGATGCTGATGAGGTCTGCCTTCTGAGACGCGAGGGTTGGGAGCTGCTGACTCACGGCAGGGGAACGAAGTTTCACGCCCAGAGGAACAAAGTCTACATCCCCCGAGAGCTTGCTTCTACTTGCCAGGTTAGGAACATTAGACGGTCGGAGGCGAATGGTCCTAACGCTGTAGCAGCTCTCCATCAGCTCCCTCACTAGGTGTGAGGTAGGTCGAGGCCTCTGACTTTGATAAGAAGATGACGCTGTCTCTCTCGCCTCACCAGCCGTCGCCCGAGCTTGCAAGGTGCATGCAGCAGATGGCTATCTTGTGCAGAGGTGAGGCTTCACATGTCGCTAGTCCTTTGTCAACACAGCCTCTGCCAAGTGACTGCCCTGACTGAATTTGTTGTAGAGTATCTCGACGAGGCGAAGAAGAATGCATGGACCAAGTGTTCACATCCACAGTCTCTTTGAGTTTGCCTGAAATAGTACGTGCAGAGAAGCTCTGCCTGTCCTCTACTCGGCTTCCATCGCTAGAGCTTTCCTGTAAGTCCTCAACCTGAACAACCTCATCTGACAAATCATCATGTGACAGGAATCGACTGGACTCCCTGGATTATGATATTATGTGATTTATGCTTCCTTCCATATTTACTTCCTTCCTCTCATCCTCCTCCTTCTCATCCTCCTATCTTGCCTCACCGCCATCGACCTCTGCACTCCCATTATCCTCCTCCCACTGCATATCCTGACGATGCGTTGACAGGCATCCCTCATGGCAGTATCAAGGGGGGAGCCTCATCCGTGTGCAGATCCCACTGATGATCATGAGTAAGACGTCAACCTCCTCCCCCTCCTCCCGTTGATCTTGGTGCCAGAAAATCGGATCCTTGGGACGTTCTGATCGCCCTGGCGGGGATTTAAGGAGCTCCGAGGACGGAGTCCATGCGCACTGGGATGTTGATGCCTGAGGAGCTGAGATCAGCCAAAGCAGGATGAAGCGGAAGAGAGGAGAGCGGCGAAGAGAGATCGAGAGCGAAGGAGACAAGAGGAGAGGGGAGAGGAGATGAGAGGGGAGGCCAGTAAAGCCCACTAGAGCAAGTGGTAGCTGACGAGGCTGTAAAGAACACCTGCTTCGGAGAGCATGTTCATGCATTTTCCTACGCACGCATCCGGAGTTTCGCTCCCACTGCGTGCAAACACTTGAGAGAAGAACCCAAGGCTATATCAACAAACGTTTCAAGGACGAGCTCGGCGTGTTCAGGCTCTTCATAAGGAGCATCAATGCCCTGTATGAAGTCACTAAGGTGGAGGAGGTTGAAGGGTTCGAAGGAGGCTAGAGGAAGAGAGGAGGGTAAGGCGAGAAGAGATGTAGGAAAGAAGAGCAGAATTTACCGTGAAACCCTTGATCTTGCCTGATCGAGCCTGCAGCACATTCAACCTAATCTAGCAGCTCAAGGGTGTTCCACCTTCTTGTAGAGTCCCTTGGGATCCCTGGACTCGGCCACTTCAAGAGGGACTCGAACGTACACCTGTAAGCGTGTGAGAAGTCAAGTATGAGAAGGGCGGGGAGGAGCGTGAGGGGGAGACAAGGCAAGGCAGAGGGTGGGATGGGGGCAGGTAGGCATGCAAGGCAAGCGAAGATGAGAGGGGAGAGCGGGGCAAGGGAGGAGCACGACCTCAAAGAAGGGAAGCTCGTCCCTCTCGAAGATTTTCCTCACGTCGTCACGATCAGACCTGCACCGGCGTAGGTCAAGAGCTTAGGCACCAGCGCACTTGCCGCACCTGTAAGGAGAGATGAAGCTGCAGATCGTGATGATCCCGCAGTCCGTGAACAGCTTGGAGACCTGAACCACGGCACGTAAGGAGAGCTGTAGCAGGTGAGGATAGACAACCTCGCCGATGCGGCGGATGTTTTCCTTACTGCACCACAACCACGAATTTCAACATGTCATATCTTACAGTGAAGCTAACAAACCGATCCTCCTCGCTGAAGCCAAGATCCTTGTTGAGCCCGAACCTCACGTTGTCTCCGTCAAGGCGGTATGCTCTGCGCGATCACATCACAGGAGGGGACGGGAAGGAACCTCGAGGCTCACAGCAGTCCATATTCGATCAGCCGCTTCTCCAGCAACGCCCCGATGGTGCTCTTCCCGCTGCCGCTCAACCCTGTGAGCCAGATGGTAGCGCCCTTGCCTGGCACAGGACTTGAGCAGGGAGGTTCAGACGTCCGATGGGGAACGCACTTCCTATGAGGATACTGCGCTCCTTGGTCGAGAGCAGCGAGTCACTCCACACGATGTTCTCGGCCTTGTGTCCGCCAGGAGGTCCCTGCTCTCGAGCATGAGGGGGTTGCGGCAAAAGAAGCCTGTGTCGTCGAACCACCTGTGGGGATGAAGACATTCTTCTGAGGAAGTTGGTGCGATTCTGAAAGACTCCCCTGCACAATCTGCGAAGGGTACTGCGATCAGCAACGAGGCATACCCCGGACCCTGTTCTTGTCATTCTCGATTATAGCTTCACCCAGCTAGGCAACTCGTAGTCTGCTGATCACATGTCTCTAGCCTTCAATTCCTACCCTCATGTTGAAGAATTCCCATGCATCCCATGGCATCCGTCTGCACTCTAGGGTTTCGTCTCTCCCAGCCTTACTTTCGCTCTATCCTCCACATCACGATCCTCGTCGTCGCATCAGCTGGCCAGCACCAAGGTGATGGCTCCATTGTCACACCATCCAGCCAACACAAAGAGAATCCTCACATGGCACCATCTACCGACTCGATCTCTCCTGCAACTGCACATGCTCTCATCCTCCCCTCCATTGTCTGCGTCCCTCCTCCTCTACCCTCCATCCTTACTTGATCGCCGACCGTGCGGACATGACGCAGATCAGATGGTGAAGGGGTGGGGGTTATTTTGTGGGGGGTATCTCAATTTTGGGTAGGGTGTATGGACATACCGGTACTGATATCAACATCCTGATCTCTAAAACATTTATATCTATCTCAGAGGGGTGTGCAAAAGACAAAGAGGGTGATTGTATGCAAGGGTGTGTAATATGTGGTAGGGTGGTATTCATAGGGGGTACCTCCAGTATAACCCTCTACTGGACACGACATCTATCCACCCCCCACCCCGACAACTTGGCCCTACCACAGCTGAGACTCTTACCCCCCAAAGAAACCTTTAAAGTACCCCTACCTTGACTACCCGTCATGGAGATAAGTCACTAATAGCTACTACCCCTTCTTGATATACCCCTTCAAATCATATCACTAGTACCGGTGTACATTGCACCACCACCCCACCCTGGATCCTTCATTACTGTACTACCCAGATTGTACCAATCCAATACCCCACCCCTTTCACTCCAAGAGATCTGAGCGGATACAGACCGGTGGTTGACGTTGTGCCAATGGCCGCAAGTCGGGGAGGGGAAGGAGAAGAGGAATGGCGGGAAGGAAGGAGTTTGCAGTTTGAGGATCACAATGACGATTCACTGAGACTGACGATCTTTAGTTAGCCCTCAATTCAAGAAGAAGAAGACGAAGTGGAAGATGACGATTGAGGGAAAGGAATGTTGAGGGAGGTTTTAGTGCCAGTACAATCTTCACTTGGTAAATTCATCTAGGTGGGGCACGAGACCAATAGGGAGGATGAGGGGCAGAGAGATCCAAGTTGCCCTAGTTTGTAGTGCGAGGGTAAGAGTGGTTGCCAAACAAGAGAGCGTAGAAGTAAGCAGAAAACTAGCAAGAGGCGGTGTTAAGTTTAAGCGAAAGCGTACTTTTTCTCTGTATCGTACTTGACTGGTCAAGGCTCTGGATCATTGAGTCGAATGGAACTATTTTCTCTGATGGATTTGGTTTGCAGTGCCATAGAGACCAATGCTCTCGTGAGACGAAGGGACCAGGTTGTACATCTTACTTTCAAGGCGAGAAGGGAAGAAACCGATAGGAAGCTCGAAAGAATCGAAGTCTTGGAGGAACATGTGGGACTACATCTACAAGTATCTCGTCAACTTCCTCGTCTTTGTTCGCATGCATTGCCCCTGCGGTCGAATGTCGAGAGCTCAACCTCGCCAACCTCTGGAGTCCATGGCCTGAGAGCAGAGATGAGGGAGGGGAACGTGTGATGGTGAACAATTCGTAACAGGGGAACACACTGATCTTCTCAATGTGCACTTTGTCTCCCTGTATTCAGTTATTCGGGGATTCGGGGCAGTGAATGTTTTCGTTTTTTGTGTTTGCTCGATCGTTTTTTGGGTTCATATGAATTTCTCTGATATAATCACCCTTAGAAGATTCCTTGCCTGCCTGTACACCTCCTTCAATCCTTCTTGCTTCTACAACCCCTCCCTTCCTCCCTCCTTCCTTCCTCCCTCCTCCCTCCTCCCTCCTCCCTCCTCCCTCCTCCCTCCTCCCTCCTCCCTCCCCCTTCCTTCAGGCTCCTCACGAAGTTCATTCGTCTCACCATCGCCACCACCCCCATTTTTTCACTACCCACCCTCATAATATAGCTTCTACTACCCCTTCTTTTAATACTTGATACCCCACCCACTTGCATCATCTAATAATATAGAGAGCGGGTTCGCGTTTCAGTCATAAAGGCCTGCCGCCATGGCGGGGCCGCGCGCAGCGACGAGCGGGCTGGCTCTGCTAGTACCGCTCCTCCTCTGTTTATCTCTGGCGAACATGGCCTCTTGCTTCATGCTCGCGCCTGTGCAGACGCCTCGAGCCCTGAACTTGCGCAAGACTGCGGCAGTCACTTGCCCTGCTCCTCGGAGTTTGTGCTCAGCGAAGGGTAGGAGTGGACTTCAAAGCGTGCAAGGCTCGCTGACTGCGCCACCACGACTATGGGATGCAGCGAAGGAAGGAAACTATGATGTGTTCAATGCCGTGCTGCCTGGTCTGAATGTGATTTCTGCCGCTCCTGAGGCTAAAGAGATCAACATCATGGAAAGGGTGGGGGCGAACAAGGCGCTGGTGGTCTTCATGCGCCATGCTGGCTGACCTTTCTGTTGGGAGCTTGCAGCTCAGTTGAACAAGAAGTTGGACATCATGAAGGAGAATGGTGTAGAACTTGTTGTCGTCACTGTCGCAAGCCCCACAAAGCTGCAGGAGTTCATCGCAGCAGCGGAGTCGCTTCCCGCGGAGTACTTGTACTGCGACCCGTCTCTCTCCTCCTACCAGGTGGCGGCGAGCAGGAGGATGGTGATCGGTCTGACTTGTCTTGCTCAAGGCTCTGGAGTTTCTTTCCAAGTTCGGCTTCGAGAATGGAGCTTTCCAGACCGGAACTCTCATTCTACGGAGGATTGCGGAGAGAGGAAGGGAGGGGCTGAAAGAAATGTCTACTGCCACCAAGAACTACACCAAGGTATGATCCTGCCTGTGTTTCAACTCGACTGCTCGGACCCCTCCCCTCCCTCCTTTTCTTCCTCCCCTCTCCTCTTCTCTCCCATCCCTCACCTTCTCCACCTTCTCCACCCTCTCCCCTGCCCTCCCTCCTCTTCTCTCTCCTCCCGTCTCCTCTCCCCACCCTCATCCTCTTTCCCCATTCCCCTCTTCTCTCCTCTTCCTTCGTCCTCCTACCTCCCAACACTGTTAGCTTCTACTCTGCTTCCGACTGACTCACCATGTGTCAGTTCTCCCCCGTCGGGCTTGTCTCGGGCAAGGCCTTCTCCACGGAGGATTTGGACGGCGTCATGCAACTGGGAGGCGCTTTTGCTTTGCAGAACAACAAGGTACGACCATCGAGTTGCAATGATGGACCTGTTCTGTCTGCTCGTTTTCATGATATGTTTGTTTTCTCCATTCACTCAGATGCTTCACTTGCTATCTCCCCTCATGCCCTGCTCAGGTTGTCTTTGCGCATCGCGATCTGGGCGTGGCCGATCACTTCGACATCGACGAGTCCCTTCGATCTCTCGGAGTCATGGCAGCCTAAACTGAGCCACCGATTGCTCTCTTGCTCTGCCTGCCTGTGAAAGTCTGTTGAGGAGCTGAATGACGCGCGAGACATCAATGTCTTTGACAATGCTCGTGGCTGAAAATCTCCAAAGGACTGAAGAGGAGAGGAGGAGGAGAGGCTCACGCAGGAAAGAATAAAACTCTTGCTCGGCTCAGACCTAAAGGGCATACTCTTGATCTTGATCGCTCGAGCTGCATCAGGGCTGTCAGGCAGACTCAGTAGAGGCTGAGATCGCTCACCTCGTCCTTTGCGGCTTCTTGCCGTGTCTCATACCCTTCTTGGGAGCTGGGGTCTTGACAGAGACGATCTCAGGTTCAATCACCCCAACCTCACCCAGCTGCTCCTCCTCCGACTCCTCCGAGATCTCCTCCTGCTCAAGTCGTTCACAACGCTCTCGTCCATCCCGCAGGTATCTCACGTCTTCGTCTCGCTCCCTCTGCAAAGGATGATGCTCCAACGCCTCGAGATCCTGTCTCGACAGTCAGCCACCTCACGTGCAAGGCTGCTCGACCATCAAGCCTTCCTCCTCCGCGTCCTCGTGTGGCCCTTGCTCCTGGTCCCTCTCAGTCTCTGCGATTCAATGCGTTCATACGGCAGCAAGGGGAGGAGGGAGGGAGTCACCGGCCTCTGACTCTGACTCCGACAAGCCCTCAATGGCCGGGGCCTTCCTGCTCTCCGGCACTTCGAACATGTGCCGGTTCTTCAGACGGGCGTACTGACTGGGCAGGCTCGGGAGTCGTGGGGTCCAGCGCTTGAGGGAGTAGATGTGGCAAGCGGCGATGAGGAGGGATGCCTGCTCAGGAGTTAGAGGGCAAGACGAGCAGGAGGGGAGGGGTACCAGCAGCAGGGATCCCCCAAAGACTGCCACGTCCCACTCGGACTGCTGGACAACGAAGGAGGGGCTAAAGGGCAGGTCGTACGTGTAGCTGTCGACTGATCCTGACTGATACGTTTCTGGCATGTCCCCAGAGCCCACCTGCACCTGCGGGAGAGGGTCATGAGCGTCACTAGAGCTCGCGCGAGGTATCGAGGATGAGGATCGATTATGAAAGGTATTGGATGTCAGGGAGGAGGGAGAAGACAAGGAAGGAGGGAGGAGGGAGGAGAGAAGAGGGGGGAGGGAGGAGGGAGGAGGGAGGAGGGGTATCCTACCGCGACAGGGAGGTTCAAGTTTGCCCCAGCTAAGAATGTTGTGCATCTTGGAACAACACAGGAGACAGCTGAGTTCGACTGGCAGTCTCGTCACTCGAGAGATCACCTCCAGACTGACCGCAAACTTACCAGCCACCGGGTAGCCGAGCAGGAGCTGTCACCAACAGAGGCCTTGGGGGAGTAGTCGTGAACTCCATAGTGGTTCCCGATGATGGTGATGGTGTTTTCCCCCATCGCCGGCCCGTTGACGTCAGAGGGGTACAACACTTGAGGGGGGAAGTACCCCAACTCCCTCATGTACACTCCCGACTGCTGCCCTCGGACCACCTGCAGGGGGATCTGACCCCCAACCCCGGGGCCGGACGTCCCGGAGGAGATCTTGCAGATGAGCTGAGAGTCTGAGAGCCATGTGGTGGAAGCGCAAGCCGTGTGGCCCACTAGGGCGAGCGCGTTGACGTCTGCGTTGGACGAGCTGGCCAGAGGGTCATTGGTGCTGCCGAAGTTCTGACCCTTGATCGTGATGTCAATGTTTCCTGTGCTTGGGATGTTAGAAACAGACACTTGAGCGATGTAAGGACGATCGTAAGAGAAGGCCACGCTGGCATTCGAAGCGACTACTCCTTTCTTCGCTAGAGACAAGGTCGTCGGCAGCTTCCTGGAGTTCCCAGCTTGTACCGTACACGATATGCTCGAGTCGCTGGTCCACGTCAGCTGCCGGCAGGATGTGGCTCCGATCTGAGCGACATGCTCATAAGCTGCGGTGGTACCGAAGTTTTCGCCGAGGATGGTCATGCGGGAGCCTCCAGTCGTTGGGCCGTTGAAAGGGCGGAGGCTCGTGATGGCTGGAGCCTTGTATGAGAAGATCCCTGACGCGTAGCCTGCCTGCCCGACCACTGTAGCAACGACGACTCCGCATCCTTCTTCGCCACACACCGCCGATCTCACCCCAGCTGGGGCACGGCAGACGAGGGAGGAGTCGGAGGTCCAGGTGGAGGCAACACACGCAGTGTCGCCCAGTCTTGCTCGCGCTGACGAGTCCCATGCTCCGAAGCCGAGGCCATAGATGGTGATCGAGCTCTCTCCTACCGCTCGCGCGCTCGCGGGGTGCAGCGAGGATATGGCAGGAGCTGCGAAAGAGATTCCAGAGCCATTCCATGCTGCGAAGGTGGTTCCGACCGTCAGCTGCAGGGCTCTCGAGGCGCCGAGACCCGGGGAGGTCGTGCAGACAACGACTGAGTCAGACAACCACTCGGTAGCCGAGCATGCAGACTGCTGCGCGCTGAGCTTGACAGACTTGATTTCCGATGAGGAGACGAACATGCTCCTGTCCCTGCTGCACCAGGTGCTGTTGCACTCCAAGGTGCCGAAGTTGCGCCCGAAGGCTGTGATGCGGAGGTTGCCGGTGGTTGGCGACAGGACGGGGGAGGCAGACGTGATGGTAGGCGCGTCGAACGAGAAGGCGTTGCTCAGCTGCGCGATCTGACTACCAGCCGTGTCATCCAACGCCAACGTGACCGTGTGGGCCGCGCCGATGCCAGGAGGAGTCCTGCAGACAAGACTAGAGTCCGACACCCACCTGAGCGTTATGCACTGCGAGTGAGCGATGGAGGCCCCGAAAGTCCCCGGGTTGTTGCAACAGCCAGTCCCTTGACAGGCGGGACAAGATTGCTTCGGAGTCATCTTGCACAGATACGCGTTGGCGAAGATCTGGTTGGCTTCAAACAACGTGGATGTGCCGGAAGATGCTTTTGTTTCGCAGCTCACCCCATCCTTGACATACCCGGAGACGACATGGGCAGGGCAGGGCACGTACGTCACCTCGCCGCTGCTCGAGACGCTTGAGGGACACTGGTTCACCACGAACGAGTTTGACCTGGGGATGCTCCGGTCGCTGATGTCTCTACAGGCAAGCTTCACAGCAGCAGCATCCCCCGCGTTGAGCACACTCCGTCTGAACTCAGCCTTGGCACATGCGATGGGGTCATGGGCGAGGCTGAAAGGAAGGATGCTCCACCAGGTGATGTTGACAGGAGCAGAGCCGATCTCTTGACCCACGTAGAACCTCCCTGACCCGGGGATGTTGAAACCCGTGATGCACTGCGACGGCTGCTGCTCATCGAAGAGGATGTACTCTCCGTCTGCGATGCAAGTCAGTGATGAGACGGGAAAGGGTGGCGCTTCTACAACAACAGCAACACACCGTGTATGTAGTAGTCGCATTGCGACATCAGTATCGGATTGAAGTCTGAGCCCCATCCGAAGTTTCTTCCAAGGATCGTGACGGCCTCAAAACCTCCCGGAGGTCCGTTGTTCGGGGAGATGCCATACACCTCTGGCTTGTCGTAGGAGAAGGCGTTTGCCAGGCCCTTTGGGTTCTCGCTTCGCCTTCCGGCAGCAGCAAGAGGCTGTCTGTTCAGGTCTACTCTCACGTTGTGCGCTGACCCAGTCCCTCTCGGGACTGCATTGCACACCACAGTAGAGTCTGAGACCCAGGAGGAGTAGATGCACTTGCTGTCCCCTATCATGACGTCTACAGTCGTTGAGGGAAACGTCCCAAAGTTCTTTCCAAACACAGTCATCGCTGACAGGCCGTAGGGAGCTGCGTTTGCCGGGGAGATTTGAGACTCATATGGAGCATCGTAGGAGAAATAGTTTGCAAGGCTCCTCACCTACGAAAGCATCACAAAGAAATCTTGCTGCTGCTGCAACTTACGTCCATGCATCGTCCTGCCGTTACATTCACTGTGAGGTCATAAGACAAGCCAGGAGCGCTGATCAGAGTCAGAGATGAATCCGACGTCCATGTCACGTTCTGCCCCTTCGTCTGGCCCAGCGAGGCATCGACGTAGAGGCAAGGAGGGGATCCTACCAGAGTGTGAGAGGTGTGAGAGAAGAGACAAGGGTGGAGCATAGAGAAAGGTATAGGAGAGAGAGAACAAACTGCTGGACCTGAGCTTTGACAGGGAGTGGAGGACAGCTCGGCTGCTGTACAGGGCGAGGGGGCATACCCGAATCCGATCCCGAAGACGGTGAGGACAACTCCTCCTGCTCAGGAGCCATCTCAGCCGAGACATGGCTAGTAAGGGGAAGCACCGACCTGTTGCAGGACTGTTCCAGTGCCATGAGCCGCTCTCAGAGGAGTACCTCCCTCCTTTCGGGCTCTTCAAAAGGTCCTTGATCGCTTGTTGATAATTTTGGGCAGAGATCGCAAGTGCAGAGGCATCCGAGTAGGAAGGTGGCTGCTGCCCTTGGTAGTAGGAAGCAGGCCTGAGAGAGGAGGGACATCGTCAGCGGCACATGCGCATAAGGGAGTAGCTACCATCGACTCTGCGTCGCTGCCACTAACTCCTCGTACCATGCTGAGTTGGATTGAAAGGGTGCTAAAGCAAACAGAGAGCTGTTGGAATTAGTTGTCGAGCTTGCTGTGCATATGGAGGCGTTGCGAGAAAGAATAAAGGAAAGTAGAAATTGAAGGAAGAGGCTCCGTCTGGCGCGGGAGAGCGCCATGAGACAGTTTGACAGTGGGAATCAAACAGCCTCGAACTTGAGATCTCCAGGTAACATGCTCGAGCGCTACATTGTATGAAGCCGGGTCAGCATGACTTGTTTGCTTCCGTGAGAGGCATGGGAGACTCTCGTGGTGTTGTCCTTTGATCTCTAGCTTCGAGTCTCTGCTCGCACACCCTCAAGCATCGCCTTCCAGTGTCCCGTGGCCCGAGTCTTGTGGCTCACCAGCACCTTCCTTCACCTTCCTCCCTCAAGTCTGTTCGTTCCTGCACCTGCTTGTCCTCCCGTCCTCCTCTTCCTCTTCCTCTTCCTCCTCTTCCTCTTCCTCCTCCTCTTCCTCTTCCTCCTCCTCTTCCTCCTCTTCTTCCCCTTCCTCTTCCTCTTCCTCCTCTTCCTCTTCCTAGTTCTCCTGGTTCTCTCAGTCTCTACAGTCACTTGGCGTGAGGGATCGCGACTTGTAGCCTGACAAGAGGGACCTACTACCCCCCCCGAAGAAGAATTTTTGAATAATTCATTAGCTTAATCAGTTTCGAACAGCAGGCCGGGCCCCCCGGGGTATCGTACGGTCACTGAGTCAGGTGACCGGGGCCCGCCCTCACCGTCTGCCGACCAGGAACCTGGCCGAAAGATCAGTACGAGGACAATCAGGAGAGACGAGGAGGCTTGACCCTGACACTGTCGCACAGGCCAAACGGCGAGAAGAGAAAAGACAGCGAGAACCAAACCCAATCCTGCCAACTGCTGTCCCCCAAACTTAACTCATACCTTCACTTAACTGCGCGCTGGACAATCCCCCAGCGCCGCCATGCCAGCGATGTCGCTGCGGCCGCCGCCGAAGGAATGAGACGCACTGGCATACCGGACCGCACCTGCGATGATCGCACCGAAGGACAGGGAGGCCTTGAGCTGACAAAAGATCCTCGACCGGATGCGTTTACAAGTCGGATCACCTGAGACGTCTTGCGAGGCCGAGAGACCATCCAGCGCTGCCGTTTCCTTGTTCGCCGAGCGATCCGCCAACCACCACAGAAAGCGCAACGCATCATCCTTGACCAGCCGCCGAGTACGGTCAGGTCCGAGTCACCAGCCCAGGTCACAGTTGGACACTGAAAGTGGGGCAAGGCTCCGGTCGGGGGCGCGGCCCGGGCCGCGCCGGGGGCCCGGTCCGGTCCACGACGGTTGCGTCAGAAACGGTTGTGACGAATGGTATTTGACCCTCAATTCTTTAATCATCGACACCCACCATAAGTTTTATGATACCCCTATTTTGACTGTGATATACTTGATAAAGGGTAGGTAGTTGATACCCCCTACCCCTCTATTTGGGACCCCCACCCTGTCTTCGACAACATCGTGCTTCACTCAAGCACCTCTTGCACTACTCGCTCCTCCGCTTTCTGCTCCTCCTCTTGCCTTCGCTTCCTTCGCTTCCCTCGCTTCCCTCTGGAGCTTCCCTCGCTTCCCTCGCTTCCCTCGCTGATCTGTTGTGTCTGCAAGGCTCGTGCCGTCTTGTGTCCCCTCCCTCATCCGACTCTTCTCATCCTAGCTTGGAGTGGTGCATAAAACCCCTTCCCCTTCGACAGCACTTCCGTTCTCAAATGGCCCAGAGAAGCTTTTGGAAGAGCCCGCATCTCATTCACAACACGCTCAAGTTCGGCACTCTCCCAGTGCTTGCATTTGTCACTCGCCACCTATGGTGTGGTACTCCTGCCCCTCCAGAAGATTTGAGTGAACGGTACAAGTACTTGCAAGAAGTGACGGATCAGAACAAGAAGGCACTCCAGGCAAGCTCATGAAAACATGCTGTGACTTGTCGTTCATGCGTGATAGAACTTTTGTCGTGTGTCCCTGGTCGCCTGCTTGTTGATTGCATGCAAAACCTTGTGTTCTTGTCCAGGAGCTGAAGAGTTGTTGCATTAGGAACTTCTGGATGCTGCAAAGGAGGGAAAACCAGGAGGACACCAGAAAGGACAGTCATGGAATGGAACGTATACAACTCATGGGCCTTGGGATGCTCCGGTAAGAGCTCCACGCCAGTCGAGCGAATGATCATGTTCGAATTACAAAAACAGCCAGAAAGCGAGACAGTCCCAGTGTGTGTTTGGGAGGGGGCGGGGAAGCAGGAGTCGGGAGGAGGATGGTAGAGAAATGCAGAAGGAGCATTAGGAGATGGAGAAGAGGAAGAGGGAGAGGAAGAGGAAGGGAAACAAACTACTCTTCAACTTCCACATCCGCCTGCTCCAGTGAACGGGCGAGAAGCTCCTGCTTGTACTCCATGGAGGCATCCTGCTGCCAGTCCCAATAGTTGATGGAGACGAGCCGGTAGCCTGCCGATCTCAGGGCGCGTCTCTTGATTCTCGTGCTCCCGAGAGGAAGCTGCGAGCCTTGACCTGGAGAGGAGGGTGAGAGGAGGGTGAGAGGAGGAGGAGGAGAGGAGGAGGAGAGGAGGAGCGCACAGAAGTGTGAAGGTCCGTCGAATTCGACAATGATGTTTGCTTGCGGTATCCAGCAGTCAAGGGAATATCCGGTCTTGTTGTCCACACGCTCATCGAGCACCTGGTAGCCCATGCTTCTCAACACGCTGCTCATGTTGGCCTGTTGGGTCGACGAGAGCGAGACCTCCTCGCTGGATTCCTTGAAGCTCTGCTGCCATGATGAGAGAGCATGGGACTGGCCGAGGGGAAGGAGGGGAGTAGGGAAGGAGAGAAGCAAGAGAGAAGGAAAGCGAGCAGGGGAAGCGGAGTAGTAAAGGAGAGAGTTGAGAAACAAGTATTCGAAAGACAAGGGAGAGGGTGAGGCTGTGCAGGAATTTAGGATACGTCACCTTGAAGCAATCTTCCTTGAGCTGGTCTATTAGCTTTTTGTCGAACCCCTCCTGCTCGTCAACTGGGTTGATGATGAGGAACTGATGAATCTGAAAGCCATGTCAGCCTCCCGGCATTTCGAGGAGAAGACGATAGAAGGGGCCATGGAATTTGAAAGATCAGAGGGAGACGCACGAATGAGGAGGAGGAGTAACCTGGGCCTTTGCAGGAGCGTCCAACTTTGTCCTCCGAGCTATGACTGCATGCAAAATCCACTTGATGATGCTTGAGGAATTGGGAGGGAGAAATGGACTCAAAACTGCTACACTCCAAGCAAACAAGGCAACATACTGTCCACGAGTCATGTAACGCTGAAAATGTAGCAGACAAGGAACGATTTTGCAAGAGGATTAAAGGAGAGAAGGAGAGAAGGACCGAGAAAAAGGAGGAAAGGAGTTGAGAGCGAAGTAACACAGAGGTCAGTGAGGAGTCAGGAGGGAACAAGAGGGGCAGACAACAGGTCGAATCACCTGCGAGCTGAAAATAGAGTGATCCTGACTTATAACCCTTCCAAGGTTTCTATCCAGCAGTGCAGCATCTTCGATGTACAGGAAGGCTTGAGCACGAAGCAAGCTTGCTGCAGCCTAGCAGTTTTGAGCCTCAGCCGACAATGTCTCTATTCCCTCTCCATGCTATCCTCGCCTATTCTACTTCAAATCGACTGCCGCTGCATTTCCTTCCTATCTACCTTTGCGCATCTCTTGTCTCCGACCTCTCCATCATCTCACTTTCAAAGGCTCTTCACTCTCGTCACCTGAGGATCGATCTGTCGCTCGGGCCTCTTCCTCAATGCAGCGCTCATGTGACCCCAAATCTCCTCGTCTCGCCATCGGAGCTGGCGGGAGGTGATTCCGATCAGGTGAGCAAGAAGCAAGTTTCCATCTTCACCTGCACCATTGCGCTCGAAATCGAAGCAGCATGAAATTCATTCAGCTCTCGAGGATTCAAGAGCAGGAGGAGGCGCTTGAGGTGCTGGTACAGTTCCATATCCTCCAGCCCTGCCCTGCCGCGCCTGTCAATAGAGCTCCCGAGGGGATACGGAGGATGAATGCGAGGACCTAGAGAAATCTCTGAACAGGGAGGACACGCATTGGATGCTGTAGGAGCCTGCCGCCTGCTGCGACTGAACCGCGGAGCTGCATCGCGGGTTACGGTGAAAGCTCAGCTGAGGGAGTTGGCAGACCTGAGGAACTGAAGTATGTCGTTGCTGAGCATGTCCACTCGCAAGAACGCGTTGAGGAGCATCGAGACCTCTGCCGCGGCAGAGCAGAGCAAGGAGGAGAGGGTCAGCAGTCGGTGCTCGAAGCCGGGCAACGGCCATGGCAAGGGCTCACCCTGTGGGCTCAGCTCGTCGAGGTCGAGCTGCTGGACGACCTTGGAGATGTGCTGGAAGAGATTCTGGTCGAAGAATTGGAGGCGGATGAACGAGGTGATGAGAGAGGAGATAGTCTTGGAATCTGCATCCCACAAGCTCCGTTTCGACCTGTTGAGGTCCGACAAGATGTTTCTGTTGGGCAAGAATCATGCGCGAAAAGGCAGCTTTGAGGAGGAAGTGAAGGAAAGGATGGGGGAAAGAGAAGACAGCTGGAGGAGGGAGGGAGGAGGGAGGAGGGAGGAGAGTAGGATAGGCAGGCATCCAGGTGAAAGATAGCAAAGAGACATCAGGAATCATTTAGAACCGAACTTGATGAAAGGGGGAAGGGAACAATCAAGACATTGTGACCTCCCAACAATCTCTGACTGAAACGTCTT